TGGCGGCGGCGCCTCAGGTGAGCGGCCAAGCATGAGAGTCCGGGGAGAGAGAAAGAGGGGGAATCGACTGCAGTAGGTGGCAGCCAGTGGCTTCTTTTCCAGAGGAAAAAAAGACTGCAGCAGCAGCAGGAGGGAAGAAGAAGAATCGTTGGCGGCTCGTCGGCAGGGGAGTCTTAATTAGAAAATTGCTAATAACTCATGCACACGAACGAAATTTCAATATTAATGAGTTTTAAGGCAAACGACAGGCAACAGAAAGGCGCCACTCTAACAACTCTAAAAGGTACAACAAGACAAAAATACAAAAACTGTAACAGCTACACCAACAAGCGCTTAACTCACACACCAAAAGTTTTTTAACAACATTAATAATACCAACAATTAGTATAACAACTTCAACAACACTAGTCCCTACACCAACAACCGTTACTAGAACTCCAACAAAGATTTCAACAACGCAGACAAGAACAACACCAACAAAACTAACTTTTAAAGCAACACCAACAGCTTCTAAAGCGCCAACAAGCAAGAACAAAGATTTCAACAACACCAGCAAAGATTCCACTCAACCAACTATTACAAAAACTGTTTGAAAAAAACCAAAAGCATGTAAAAAAAAAACACCACAACAGTTACACCAAACAGGTTTTAGAAAAAACACCAACAGGACCAAGCAAAACAACAAAAACTCTCCATTTCAGTCAAATTACAATCCAACAATAACAACAACAACACGAAAGACTTAACCAACAGCTCCAATAACCCCAATGAATCTTCAACAGCTTAAACCGCCAATACCAATATAAAAATATATTTCCAAAAAGCAACAATAAATATTCCACTCTAGCAAACATTACAACAACTCCAGCATAGATTTCAAGAACACCAATAACTACACCACAAACAATTTAGACAACAACACCAATGAAGAGTGTGTACACGAACAATAATTACAATCACCATTTAGGCCCAGACTTTGAGAAGCCCATAGCGACGGGGGGTTTTTAATTTGAAAAGAAGGTCTAGGAAATACCGTCGTAACCAATCGTTCTTGACCATCTTTGTGCACTGTGGGAGATGCAGCAGTGCAGCAGTACAGCAGGAAAAGAAACCCCTCCATCCACCCATTCATTTGAGAGGCTGCTGCTGATGCTGCTGTTTGCTGCCTGTCTTACGCTCTCTCTCTCTCTCTCTCTCTCTCTCTCTCTCTCTCCTGCGCTCATTAACTTGGCTAAAAACTCAATGGGCGCACTGGGGACCCAAATGAACAGCGGCTGGGGCCCCCATCATCATCGTTTTTGACTGATTTAGTTGTCAGTAAGTGGCCCTGTCTCACTCGCTCATTGTGGTGCTACCTTTTGCTGCCGCCTGCCACCTGCCACCTGCCGCAGCCCGCCTGCTCCCTATCTCCCACCTGGTATTTTTGTGGAGCTCAACATGGGGCTCATAATTAGCATGCAAGCGGCATAAATCGCAGCAGCAACAACAATTAACAGACCCAAATTGCATGCAACACAGCAGAAGCTTGTTCTGTATTTTTTTCTTTTTTTCTTCTATGTAGTATATTTTTTTTCTCTAAGTTTTCCTTAGCGGCTTTCTCTTGGCTTTGTTTTCCCTCTAGATTTGTATATATACATATGCCCTTTGGGGGGAGAGGGTATTAATGATTTGAACAAGATGTTTGCATATCGGATAGAGGAGGAAAGACGTAGTTTTCGCTGTACAAATTACCCACAAGCGAAAGGCTCATTCTGTTTTTTGCTGCCTGTCGATGGCTCTGCAAGAGGGTATCCACTATTCCGACCCTTCCTCTCGGCCAGCTTTTGGTCGCTTTCTGGTTGCCTACTTAGCATGCATTTCAGGCAGGCAGTCATTGACGTCTGCAACAGAACACGTAGGCAACAAACAGGCAACAGCAGCAGCAGCAGCAGCAGCGACAACAACAACTGTCAATTATATTAGTTGTTGTTACTACACACAGCGCTAATTCAAAATCATGCGTGGGCAGCACTTGCAACAGCAGCAGCAGCAGCAGCAGCAGCAGCAACACGCCAGCACCAGCAGCACCAGCAGCAGCAGCAGCAACGACAGCGGCGGCAACAACTTGGCCGCAACATGGCCACTAGCAACTTCTCTTAATTAAGTGTCGACCTGCTGTTGCATGCAAATGTTGCATGGAAAATAAAAAAATGAACCGAACAAAAATCCGGCCACTCTCTGGCTGCCTGCCCCCCGTCTTGGGCTGCGACCTTTAGCCATTGCGTGTTGGCTGCCACTTTGGCCATAATTTTCCAGCCGAACATTTGGGTTTTTTTTCTTTGCCTGAATTACTGCTGTGATCTTTAACTAAATGAGAAGAGGCTCCTACAGTGGTGGAAAAGCGTTGGAAAACCACCGCCAAAAAAAATACCATTCTATTCCATTCGTTCCATTCACTGAATGCCGTTTCATTCGCTACACAAAGTTCCCATAAGCGAAAGGATATATGCCTTCGAAATGCGAGAATGTATAATTTCCTGTATAAGTTTTCCTATAAGTTTTTCCTAGACTTTCATTCACTGTGCCCCTGTAAGCCCCAAAAGTTCGCACGACTTTTCCGAGAGCTGAATAAAGATTGAGAGCGAGAGAGAAAGAGAGGGAGAGAGAGAAGGAGATTGAGAGACAGAGGGAAATAACAAAATGCATGCGTAATTTACGCTTTACGATCGCAATAGCTTCAGATACAGATTCTAACTCCTCTATAATATCGTTATCGAGGTCTCAGATCAAGGCTCGCAAAGGTGGAGGCAATATGCCAGAGAGGAGCACAGAGAGGGGGTGTGTGAGGCTGCCACAGAGGCACAGTCAGTCGCTGGGGCAGAGTGGCTGGGGACAGAGACTGAGACTGAGGCTGAGGCTGAGATCCGTTGCATGCTGTGTGCCCGGTGCGTAGTGCAATAAATCAAAGTTTTATTTGTTGAAATAAATTCAGAGTTTATTGCTTCGTTATTATTTTTTTCGGTGCCTCGATGCCTGAGATTTCCAACACCCCAGAAAAGAGAAGGAGACATAGAGACAGAGAGTGAGACAGAGAGAGAGAGAAACGAATCACCCGAAGGCCGGAAATGTTGTTGTGGGGCTGTTGATGTTTGTGCAGCGCAGTTTGCAATTTCTTCTGGTCGCGCGGGGCCTTAACCTAATTTCAGATCGTTTCGTTGATTGCCTGAATGTTGGCCTCGTCGATTAATTATTTAACCATCAATTTAATGCAAAACTGATGGCTAGAAAAAGACAGATAGATGGCACACAGCACACAGCACACATAGAGACATGCAGAGAGAGAGAAAGAGACATTTTACTGGCAAACCTATAAAAATACAAAAAAATAAAACTTGAATGTCCCACAGAGAATCGGAGGATGAAAATGTTTTCATGTTGAACGAAGAACGACGAACGACGAACGAAGAAAGATTGATTTTTACACCATTTTATGGGAAAGAGTCTTTCTTTGGGCATAAAATTCTTTTGATTGGAGATACTCGGTTGTGAAGCCGAGTATCACGAATCACTAAAGCCTTCCTTCTATATATCGATATTTGCACCAAAATCAATCAAAGAATATAACATATCATCACTTGCTATTTTGCAGAGAAAACTCTTCGGGGATCTCCCTTACATCCAGTTTCAGTATTTAAGTCTCTCGAAAAGTTGAGAATTAGAGCATGTGGTATTTTCGATATCTTTTCAGTATTCTTTGTAGAATTCTTCGTAGAATTCTTTGTAGAATTCTTTGACTATCAAATCGCAAAAGTGCGTGCTCCAGTTATCGCAAATCGTAAGATTCTTGCGATTTAAATCCGGTTGCTAATGAAATTACGATTTCAAAATGTTTACGAGCTGATTTATTTTAATATAATTATAGATTTATTTTCTAATGTGTATCTTCAATTTATATCTTTATGTATCTTTATGTATGTCAGTATTTTGTAGCCCAGCTAAACTAAGTAATTAATAGTATTTTTAGGGTATTTTTCTAATATTTTATTCTAAATAAATTTGTTCACATTTGTCTGTTATATTTTATAATTCTCTTATATATTCATTATATGTTAAAAATGTTTATAAAGTATTTTTAATTATTTTTTTTCCAGTTTTTTAATGTCTGTTGGGGCTTTTAGCGTTCCTTTTAACAAATTAATTGAAGTTTGAGTAAATTTTTAATATGTTTACAGTCGACGGTGTAGTACTTTTTCAATATACTCTCTCCCTCCATTGATTTGCTGCGAAGTAATGTAATATTTACAAGGTGTATCTCCGCCCCCCCCGTCCACAGCCCCAGCCCCAGCCCCGTGTAACTTTTCATCACATGCACAAAAGCTAAGTAAACAGAAAAGTAGGTGTACAAAAGTTTTGGATGAATTTCTGCCAAGTCAGCGTTTTGTAGTGTGTGGAGAAACCCAGTGACACGCCTAGTCACGCCCTCAATTGCACGTTGTGTCCACCTGCCTCCTACTGCTCCTCCTCCTCCTCCTCCTCCTCCTCCTCCTACTTCAGCGCCTTCTTCCACCTCGCCAATTACCCCTGTACACCTCTCACCCAGATAGAGAGAGCAGAGGGGTCGGTGTCTCGCATGCCCCCTCCCAGCGCCTTGGTGGCAGTGACATTTGTGAACCCTGAAGCAAAAGATTTCGCAATTTGTTTGGCATTTGTGCAATCGCTTCGGCATTAATTGCATATAAAGATACATACATACCAATATATGCATATGTAGATACAAAGATACTTCGAACCGCATGCGATTGATTACGCAATTTCTGTATTAGCAAAAAAGGCGTACGAATAGAACACCAAATTAAGAAATTAAACGCGACTCGCTCAGAGTCATTCTCAAGCTGCGACCACTACTACTACTACTACGAGTGTTACTAACTAACACACTAAACCAAACACACTAACTAACACCAATGTCTATCTTTGTTCTTTCCATGTGGATTTCTGCAGCAGCGTAAGCTGTCACCGACATGGGCAGTGAGCACTACTGCTTGAGGTGGAACAATTACCAATCCAACCTGTTAGGGGTGTTTAGTCAATTACTACACGACGAGAGCCTGGTGGACGTCACACTAGTTTGTTCAGAGGGCACATCCATCAGAGCCCATAAGGTGAGTCCATACATCAAACACACATGTATCTATCAATCTATTTATCTATCTGTCTATCATTAGTTATATATACATATGTTTAAAGATACAAATGAAAAAGTCATTGATTCATAGCACAATAATTCCCATAAGCGAACGGATACAGGATCTTGCATCTTTCAAATACTTTTAGGCTGATTAAAGCCTACCAAACGATTTGTAAACGTTTTTCTACCATCAGTTACACTTTTTCCAAGCAGATAAAAAACAATTGCAAATTTTAGATACTCTGGTTCGATATAGATACTTTTATTCCTCCATTTCCTTTCATACCCCATTTGTATCTTTGCTGGTAAATGTCTATCTATTGCGCCAGAGTAGCTTTAAGATACTGTTGTATCCTTGACATACAAAGTCTTGTATGGGTTAGATGGAATATCTACCAAATATGTATCTTTTGCATGCAAACTCGAGATATTTGTGTATCTCATGCAACCCATTCGACTATTCCGCGCCAAGGGGAACTGAAAAACGGAAAACTCCAACTGTATATTGCGGAAGCTGGCGATCAAGGTCGAATGCTGCCCCGTCGTTATGGCTGGGGGCCCTGTCTTCGCCTCCACTCTGTCACGCGGTGCTGCCACTGGCTCTGCCTCTGTCTCTCCTCCTTTGCCTGTGAAATGCCAGTCGCATAAATTAACGCAGCAGCAGCAGCAACAACACCAACAAGATCAAATGCAATTTACACATTTGTCAGTAAATTGTCAACTTAACGCCGCAACACACTCTAAACGAGCCTCAGCCTCAGCCTCTGCCTTGTTGCTACTGCAACACTGCTGCTGCTGCTTGGCAACATGTTGACAAGGTCAGCCTCTAATAGAAATTGACTGCAATGGACCTGCCTGGCTGTCTGCCGCCTGCCCACTGCCTGCTCCCTGCCGCTGCTGCTGCCACTTCCTCGCACTCGTCGCTCGCTGTAGCTGCATAAATCATGCGTTTCGCCCAGAGAACAGCAACAACAACAACAGCCGCAAGAAAGCAAAAGTCTTGCTTTGCAAATGATCAAAGATGTGGATACCCTTCAAAGATACATTCTATTTCATTCAGATACATTTATGTAAACCAACGAAAAAGATACAACAACAGACTCCCAGCTTTCGAATTTTTCTGTTGCTGCTGCAAAATCATATTACCCTTGCGGCACACTGCAAAAACAGGGTATATGGCGGGTATAACAGCCAACATTGTGCTCACGTCTGTCAATTGAAATTCCTGTTAAATTAAGAGGAAAATATTTAACTGCGTTTACTGTTTGCTGTTTGCTGCCGGTGCTGGTGCTGCTGCCTCTCGCTTGCTGCTGCTGTTGCCTGAAAACAAGACTTTGGTTAAAGCTCTCCAAGCCCCTCCGTCCTCCATCTACCAGCTTGCATCTTGCTCCATCTCCCGACTTGATAAAGTTATTTAAATCTGCAGGAAAACTGGTAAATTGTTCAATTATAAATGTGCATCTCTCTCCACACGCTCTCTGAAATATCTGCAGAGGGAGTGCCGTGCGGCCACGGCCCATTCCTCCTGCCGGCCTGCCTGCCTGCCTTCCACAGATTCAGTTAGAGACTGAAGTAGAGAGATATGTTCAACACACACACTAATTGACACTTGGGTTAAGTATTTATAATTTGGAAATCATTGAGTGAGCACCAAATGGAATTTAAAGGAATATTGAACAATTCGATTAGAAAAGTGCATTCGTTTGGATAGAAAGTCAAATGAAGTACCCCATAAGCGCAGGATCTGAATATTCGTATGCCCCTTTGATTCGTATTTCATTCTATATACAAATAAATTGCAAAAAATAACACCAGCAATCAAACAAAAAAAAAAAAATATATCATGCACACGACATGTTTTTTTTTGCTATTCTCATTAGCTTAGAAAAATAGCAAGGTCCATCCATTTCCAGCTCAATAAAAAGCTACATCCCGCTCACCCCTTGGTACTTACCTACATGTGTACCTCATCTGCCGTTTCTGTTTACTGGGAAAATCAACTTCATTAGGAATTCAACTACAATCTAAATGGGAGGGTGAACCAAATGCAAAAAACGGAGACAAAATGCAAACAAACAACAAACTGATGAGTTCATTTCCTTTTTAGACATTGCAAAAAAAAAAAAAAAACCCCCCCTTGCTATTGAGAGAAGGAGAGAAGAACGGACACATGTCCTGATGTCCAGATGTCCCAGATGTCCCGATGTACTGATGCTTGGGCAAACTAATTAGCAAATGCTACCAGACGGCAGACGGCAGGCAGGACAAGGTCTGTCAACGTTTAGAAAGCGTTAGCAAAAGCAAAGAAATGGCCAGCATACCAGCGAAAGTCAAGAAAGGAAACTAAGGATCTGTCATCACACACACACACACACACACACACACACACACACACGCCCCAGCTCCACTCCTCGACTCCTGCCAACGAAAACCGAATCGAATCGAAACGAAACGAAACGAATCGAATCGCAAACGAACTGAAAAGAACCGACCGGAACAGAACTGTCAATTACTTTTGCATATATCCTTCAGCAGGAGCAAGGCCTTCCCCGTCCCTACCCGCACCCGCAGGCGCCTTGGAAAACGTAGCCCGCAACATGCGACACCAAAAAGGAGTAGGCAGCAACAGTAGCACTACCATGGGCTGTGTGACAGCAGAGGAGTGCTCGTAGTAGAAGGAGCTGTAGAGCTGCAGAGCATCCAGCCAGCAGTAGAACAAAAAATTGTTAAATTGATTAAAAAGCAAAGTGTCGATGAACGAGGCAATGATGACAGCAGGCAGGCAGCCAGTCATCCAGTCAGCCAGTCAGCCAGGAGTCAGGCTCAGTGGCCAGGACAAAGGACCCAGGACATGCAACCAGGCCAAAGTCAATTCAATGAAAAAAGAAAAACACAATCCAACAGCACACACACACACACACACACACACACAAAAACAAAAACAGAAGAAAAAAAAAAAAGAAAACCAGAAGACCAGAGACCAGGGCAGGATGAGAGGATAACCAAGTGATGGTCCTGCATCCTGGCTGGATGCGTCCTCCTGAAATGGAGCCCAAGCTAAATATGCTCTCATGTTCGTGTCTGTCCGTGCGATAAAAGAGTGTTATTACGAGGGGGTGTGGGGGGGGTAGCGAGGCTTGTTATAAGAGTTTATCGCGTGACATGCGGCAGCGCCACTCGGTCGACGCGTAACAGCCTATAACGTGAGTGGTTCTGTTATTCAGGCGTCATATCGTTAAATGCCGTGCCATCAGCTGTTCTTAGCGATGGCACTTGTCGAACACACACAAGTATCGGCGTATTTCGATTACATTCTAGTATTTTCGATTATATTCATTTCCATCATTCAAAACTCTTCCAGCAGCCCACGTTTTTTTCTGTATGGCAGCCGCTCCTCGTGTGGAAGTGATTTTTTTGTTGCCCCAGCCATTTTAGCAGTTTTTTTAAGAGTAGTTTCTCTGCCACTGTGGATGTGGATGTGGATGCTGCCACTCGCTACGATACTTGCAGCAGGCCACAGGCTTTTGTTGCCCCGTTGTCGTCCTTCTATCCATCGAAAAGGAGAAGGTCTGGGGATCTGGGGGGCCTGGGGGTCTGGCGTGCAAACGGCGTCGGCACTTTAACTCAATTTGAGGCATTTAACGTATGCTCGGTTGATATTTGATGCGATTTGAGAATCGTTCTACACAGCCTCCACCTCCACCTCCGCCTATGCCCGTGCCCGTGCCCGTGCCTTCAGGATATCTCTTCTGTGTGTGTGTTTTTTTTTCGCCATCGAACGAAGCAGCCGAAAGGCAAATAAAGTGTAACAAATGTCGTTGCGGACAGGTCAAGAGAGGAGGAACACTAGTCGTATGTACAGGATGTAGTAGCATGTAGCATGTAGCATGTAGGATGTGGCATATGCGGAGTGGGAGCTTATGACCAGTGTCCTGGGCTGCTGCTGCTGCTGCTGCCACTGTTGGCAAATGACTTTCAATGACTTTTTTCCCCTAGAAGGCAAATTTCTGTTCAAATATTTGCATCGCCAAAAAGGAAAAGAATGGAAACAAAACGAAACGAAACGAAACGAAACGAAAGCGAATGCCTCTGTTCTTTGGGCGTTGGGGAAGGGGGACTAGAATTTTGTTGTCTTAAGCTGATTTGTTGGCTGGCTAAGAGCCTGATTGAGTCGCACTAACTGGTCCTCCCATCCTGTGAACCCCCCGAACCCCCACCGCCCCTCCACAGCCGAATGAATGAATGTGTAAATTAACACGGACATTCACTGAAGAGTGACTAGGGGGGGGGGAGGGGCTATCGGTTGTCGGTTTGTAAGAGGGTTTCGATTCGGGTATAACAGGGTGTTGAACAACATGCCAGACATGCCACACGACCACAACAACGATGATTGTTGTTGTTGCTGCCGCTGCTGCTGCTGCTGTCTCAAAAATATGCAAAAGCCAAACACTTAACACAACACATTTTTGACATGCAGCGCCAGCGCCAGCGCCAGAGCCAGAGCCACAACTGCAACTGCAACTGCAACATGACGTGACCGCCTCTATTGACAGCTGCAACAACTTGCAACATATGTATGTCTCAGGCAGGGCAGGCCAGGCCAGGACAGCACAGGGCAGGGCAGGGGCCAACAAATTGCTCGCCCAATAAACATTCAAATCAATTGTTCAATAAATTGCAATTTTCGCGGTTTCTTTCAAATACAAAATTTTCGAATGAAAAATGTGGCCCTCAAAAAAAACCTCTCTCTCTCTCTGGCTAAACAAAAAAAAATCCGATTAAACGCTGATTAAGGCCTTTAACATTTATTAATTAATGGCTATCCATAAATTCCTAGAACAAAAATATGTAAATGCAGAAACACGCCCCCCAAAACAAAGAACAAAAAAAAAAAACAACAAAATTCTTGATAAATTGATTTGCATAATTTTGTAACAAGAGATTATTAATAAAAAAAAATAAAAAAACATATAC